GACTTCATTTTCAAATGGTACTTTACACTCTTACTAAAAGTGAATTACCTGACACATACCTGTATGTCAACAATGTCAATTAAATCTTGCTAATCTTCCTCGAAGACACTACTTCTAATAACTTCAGAAATGTCTTTCCAGTCAGTGTAAACCTGAAATCAAAATGAATAATTATACGAAAAGCCCAAATTACAATCTGAAATGAGGTGTTTTAAGTTAAGGGGAAACTGCATGCCCATCTCAGTTTTTTTATAAGAGCACGCAGTGACCTTGCCTTGCGACCTGTGTTTTGTAACTGCCACTTGTTAAAGTTAAGAATTTTGTTCAAAAAAGCAAAATCAGCTTGACTAGTTTTAACATAATGTGTCTGGATTTTGCCCCATATCTTACTTCTCATAAAACTGTCCAGTGTGTCTTCCAATTGAGTAAAAAACGACTTGATTATTAAATAAATCTTACCTTTAAAAAAAATTGGTAGAACACTTCTGCTGCATAATCAGATAGCTGAGAAAGATCAGCATTGTCCACCTTCTGCCTTTTCTTTCCTCGTTTCCCTTTAGCAACCGACCCACCAACACACTTCTCTGACAGCTCCACATATCTTTCCTTGATTTCACGTAGTATGCCCAGCCAGAATTCCAGTCTTCTTCGAACTTCTTTTCCAGTTTCTAAGGAAAACAGGTTAGGTAGTCACATCACGAAGTGTAAGGGGGTATTCTTTTTAAGGGAGGACTATGCAAGAACACAAACCACTGGGTGTGCTGTACATATGCTAAGGAACATTCAGTCAGTTGAGATGCAGTAATCTGATGCAATAATGATGTACCCTTGATACACAATGGTCACGTCATGGGGTTGTATTAATACTAACAGTGCTACAATCTTGGACAAAACTGTTGAGAAAACTGCATACTTGGGGGGCATTTTTTCTAAACTTCGTAGCCGACCAATTGAATATAGTGTACGCTTTTTATGGAAATATGTCACAACTCTCAGTTTTTTACATAACGTCTCGATCAACAAGGGAGAATATATTTCACTACACATCTAAGGGACTGACATAAAAAGAAGTTCCATTATATAAAGTTTCTAGCTGCAAACATTTTAGAAGATAATCACCATTTTCCATGCTCTCTATATAGCCATTCTGAAGCAAATTAAGCCGCAGGAACAGTAACTTTTCACAAAAGAAATGTTGCAAAATCTGTTGGACTTAATATAATGAAATAAAGTTGATTAATCAAAAGTGCCAACAACTTCAATACCAACAAGAACATGTGATTAAACCAGACTTTGCCTTTTCCCCCAATGGATTCTAGTTTTCACACATCAATAAGATACATATTATTCAAGAACATGTACAGTGTAACTCCCAAACACTGATTAATTTTACTAATAATGGTATGCCTTGAACAATGACTTCAATACTAACTGTAAATTGGCATTTAAAATTTCAATAAAGATCTTTAGCATCAGGTTTTTCATGTATGGGACACTGCAAACAGGTCTCAAATATAAGAAAGTTGAGTGGTCGATCTTCTGGTTGCGTTTGCAGTTTGCAGTTCAAGTTTGAATGGCAGGAAAGGCTTACAGCAGTAGGTGACTTACAGCAATGTTTTTGCCACTAACAATAATATTATTGTTCAGCCTTACATTTAAAAGCACGAAGCAGCTTTCTACACCACCCTCTGATGTGCTAAGTTAGAGCTGGTGATAAACAATGAATGTCTGCCTAAAGAACTGCAAATGGGTGACTGCAGACTGCAGTTTACAGTTTGCAGTACTCCCATGAAAAACTGATGCTAAAGGTATTTTTAATACCTATGGATGTTCTCCAACAGGAAATTATTTTGCTAACAATGAAAACTCTTAAGATTAAAGGATATTCAAAACAAGATTTAAAGTTCAAGGATTTTCCATCGACTCAATTAACTTAGATTCAAGAGCTTTTAAGAGGGTAGCTAAAATTCAAGAGCTTTTCATATCTTTATGAACTATGCATCATCTGTAGTATCACAAAACAATGTGAAAATGACATGATGAGCTTCCTGACCTTTCTATAAAAAGAGTTGTACTTTAGTTTAGTTCTAACAATATTTAAGTAGGTGATAAATTATTAGTTTCAAGTACTGTAGTGTTGAGATGTATAATGATATAAAAGTAATAATAATAGAAAGTAAAATATAAAACTAACTTGATGTAGCATGACCATGCCTGTCATGGGAAGTAGCCTTTGAATATAACTGACACTGTGATGAGTGTGCTGCCTCAAAGCCTTGATTTGAATACTCCCTCAAGCTGAGGTGGTTTCTAAACAGCATGCTGGCATGTTCAGTGGTGATGTGGCCATAATCACCAGTGCCCAGGTTGCAGCCAAACACTTCCCTTAAAAGGAATTCCCATTCTTTGCACTAAAAGAAAAAAGAGGCATATTTCCATAGATGTTAAACAGTTGTCAAAATCAACATTGAAGACTGTGCAGTAACTGACGGTGGGTCTAAAATACAGGTAACTTTTCCACACTGTCAGAGTACAGCTAGTTCACCATGATACAGACAAATGAATTTAAAAGTAGGTTGAGTTTGATCATCCGGGTGAACATAGTCCTGAATAGGACTGTTGTTGTTGACAGTGACTGACGTTTCGACAACCTGTGCGGTAGTCATCTTCAGAGTCAAAGTGAATTGTATCACGTCAGTTGATGGTATTATACTCCTGGGTTGAAACCTTTCACAATTTTAGCATTAAAAGTATTTGCAAGCCCTAAACTCTTAACAAAATGCTCTATTAGATAGAGGGGAATCTGTGTGGTTTGGCAATTCATCCATGGAGCAGTGACATGTACTTATTACCTGGGGAATGTGACCTGTACTTTGTGAATATCTTAAACATTTTAGAAGGGAAAAACATTTTTCTTTTAAAATAATAATGTATGTGCCTCATTCTATAATCAAACTTTAAGTATTGTTTAAAAGACCAGCATGAGTGTATATCCAGGTTCTGATTATAATTATAAATTTTTGAAAAAATTTTTTGTATTAATATTTAAGGGCTACAAAATCTAAAAAATTGGATGTAAGTGATATAGATCTTGTATTAATATTTAGATCTGGTCTTTTTCAAATTTAAAAAAAACATTGCCCGATGTAAAAACAAATTTAGCCCGTGCCCCACTTTATCAGGTAGACACACTCATTAAGCATTTCTTTCTTTTGTTTTTTCTTTATGGACTATTAATGCCGGTTTTTGAATGTCAGTTAAAGTGATTGGAAATTATTTTTGAATTTCTCGTCATGCAATGGCTTTTAATTGCTGGTCAGTCTCTGCTGAAAGATTTACAAGAAACTCCACTACAGCTGTATTAACCTTCTTGTCTAAATTTATTGTTGTAATAGTTTTAGACATTATGCATATTTTCCATTAAGAGGACTTCATTTTCAAAGGGTACGTATTTACACTCTTACTAAAAGTGAATTACCTGACACATACCTGTATGTCAAAAATGTCAATTAAATCTTGCTGATCTTCCTCGAAGACACTACTTCTAATAACTTCAGAAATGTCTTTCCAGTCAGTGTCAACCTGAAATCAAAGTGAATAATTATATGAAAAGCCCAAATTACAATCTGAAATGAGGTGTATTAAGTTAAGGGGAAACTGCATGCCTATCTCAGTTTTTTTATAAGAGTATGCAGTGACCTTCCCTTGTGACCTGTGTTTTGTAACTACCACTTGTTAAAGTTAAGAATTTTGTTCAAAAAAGCAAAATCAGCTTGACTAGTTTTAACTTAACGTGTCTGGATTTTGCCCCATATCTTATTTCTCATAAAACTGTCCAACATGTCTTCCAGTTAAGTAAAAAAAGACTTGATTATTTAATTACCTTTAACAAAAATTGGTAAAACACTTCTGCTGCATAATCAGATAGCTGAGAAAGATCAGCATTGTCCACCTTCTGCCTTTTTTTCCTCGTTTCCCTTTAGCAACTGACCCACCAACACACTTTTCTGACAGCTCCACAAATCTTTCCTCGATTTACGTAGTCTGCCCTGCCAGAATTCCAGTCTTCTCTGAACTTCTTTTACAGCTTCTAAGGAAAACAGGTTAGGTAGTCACATCACAAAGTGTAAGGGGGTATTCTTTTTAAGGGAGGACTATTATGCAAGAACACAAACTACTGGGTGTGCTGTACATGCTAAGGAACATTCACTCAGTTGGGATGTAGTAATCTGATGCAATAATGGTGT